GGCTGCAAAGCCCCCTCTGCTGAGCTTATCATGCCCTCTTTGCATGGCAGCAGCAAGGCAAGGAAACCTTTCCATTCCCTTTGAGCAATAAAGAAGTATATCTGCCCCGCTCCCTTTATTCCTGGGGAGGAGAAGAGGGGGCTGCTTGCCTCCCTCCCTCTCCCTCTCTCTCCCTAGAACCCCATTTGCCCATCCCAGTGAGGAAGGCATGCCAACCTGGGCAGAGAAAAAGAGTGGGTGGGCACCGAGTCATCCCAAAGCCCTTTCTCTTCTTTCTCCCCCTAACGTTTCTATTTCCCTCCCCATAGGAGGAGGCCGGGCCCCCTTGGAACAATCGGCTGCCCAATCTCCTGTGGGCAGATGGCGCAAAAGGACAGAGGAGTGGGAGGTGGGCGAGAGGGAGGGGGAGAGAGAGAGAGAGAGAGAGGGAAGGAGAGAAGAGAGGGAGGGAAAGGAGAGAGCGGCGGCGCCCCCTCCCCTCTTTCCTCCCAGCGTGCCAAACCCCACCCTGGCACCGCCAGCTTGAGAGAGACACACAGAGAGAGATGGAGAAGAGGAGGAGGAGAGGGAAGCTTTGGAGAGAGAGGAGGGAAATGCCCTTTTGGGAAAGGGGTTGCCAATGGGGCAGGGGGCCCAAAGGAAACTTGACATGGTTGGCAAGGAAGTGGGGGGAGGGTGAGACAGGATAGGTTGCTAAGGTGACAATGGGGTGCCCCAGATGCACAGCAGGATTCCCCCAAAGGCTGGATTAGAGAGCAGAGGAGTAGAAGGAGCACCCCTTTTGGGAAAGGGGTTGCCAATGGGGCAGGGGGCCCAAAGGAAACTTGACATGGTTGGCAAGGAAGTGGGGGGAGGGTGAGACAGGATAGGTTGCTAAGGTGACAATGGGGTGCCCCAGATGCACAGCAGGATTCCCCCAAAGGCTGCATTGGATAGCAGAGGAGTAGAAGATGCACCCCTTTTGGGAAAGGGGTTGCCAATGGGGCAGGGGACCTAAAGGAAACTTGACATGGTTGGCAAGGAAGAGGGGACAAGATAGGTTGCTAAGGTTGGCCGACAATGGGGTTGCAGGATCCCCCAAAAGGCTGGATTGGAGAGCAGAGGAGTAGAAGACGCACCCCTTTTGGGAAAGGGGTTGCCAATGGGGCAGGGGTCCCAAAGGAAACTTGACATGGTTGGCAAGGAAAGAGGAGGAGGGCAGGATAGGTTGCTAAGGTGAGGAGACAATGGGGTACTCCAGATGCACGGCAGGATTCCCCCAAAGCCTGGATTTGATAGCAGAGGAATAGATGCCAGGAGTAGAAAGCAGAGGAGTAGAAGATGCACCCCTTTTGGGAAAGGGGTTGCCAATGGGGCAGGGGGCCCAAAGGAAACTTGACATGGTTGGCAAGGAAGTGGGGGGAGGGTGAGACAGGATAGGTTGCTAAGGTGACAATGGGGTGCCCCAGATGCACAGCAGGATTCCCCCAAAGGCTGCATTGGATAGCAGAGGAGTAGAAGATGCACCCCTTTTGGGAAAGGGGTTGCCAATGGGGCAGGGGACCTAAAGGAAACTTGACATGGTTGGCAAGGAAGAGGGGACAAGATAGGTTGCTAAGGTTGGCCGACAATGGGGTTGCAGGATCCCCCAAAAGGCTGGATTGGAGAGCAGAGGAGTAGAAGACGCATCCCTTTTGGGAAAGGGGTTGCCAATGGGGCAGGGGACCTAAAGGAAACTTGACATGGTTGGCAAGGAAGAGGGGACAAGATAGGTTGCTAAGGTTGGCCGACAATGGGGTTGCAGGATCCCCCAAAAGGCTGGATTGGAGAGCAGAGGAGTAGAAGACGCATCCCTTTTGGGAAAGGGGTTGCCAATGGGGCAGGGGACCTAAAGGAAACTTGACGTGATTGGCAAGGAAGAGGGGACAAGATGGGTTGCTAAGGTAGGGCAACAATGGGGTTGCAGGATCCCTCAAAAGGCTGGATTAGATAGCAGAGGAGTAGAAGGCGCAGCCCTTTTGGGAAAGGGGTTGCCAATGGGGCAGAGGGCCCAAAGGAAACTTGACATGGTTGGCAAGGAATGAGGGGGAGGGCAGGATAGGTTGCTAAGGTGAGGAGACAATGGGGTACCCCAGATGCACGGCAGGATTCCCCCAAAGCCTGGATTTGATAGCAGAGGAGTAGAAAACAGAGGATAGAAGGAGCACCCCTTTTGGGAAAGGGGTTGCCAATGGGGCAGGGGGTCCAAAGGAAACTTGACATGGTTGGCAAGGAAGAGGGGATAGGATAGGTTGCTAAGGTTGGGTGACAATGGGGTTGCAGGATTCCCCCAAAGCCTGGATTAGAGAGCAGAGGAGGAGATGCCCCTCTTTGCCTCCTTCCCTTTGCCAAGCTGATGCCCATGGAGATGGCAAGGGAGGAGGAGGAGCCCCCCCCCCCCAAATGGAGAGGCAGCCACAGCCAGTCCTTGGAGAGGGGCTCCTGAAGGAAGAGAAGGGAAATGGAGCCAAGCAGCCCCTCCTTCCTTGAGGAAGCCAAGGCGCATCCCACCCCTTTCCATCCTCTGTAGCCTAGTGCCTGGCAGAAGTGGGACAGGGCAGGTGGGCGGGGCCGGGAGGAAGGGGAGGGGGCACCCATAGGCCCCTCCCACTCCCAAAAGGGGGAGGGGGTTGGAAGTGTGTGGGGGGGGGGGCGCAAAGCAAAGAAGGGGAGCGCTGCCTGCCGCCAAGGGCGCAAAAGGGCAGGCGGGGGTTTGGAGAGGGCAGAAGGAGGGAGGGGGCACCTGCTTTGAGCCTGCCCTGGCCCATTCCCCAAGGAGAGATCCCCCTCCAAAAATGACCTCCGGGAAGAGAAAAGCCTGTGTCCAAACGGGGCGGGGTGGGGGGGAGAAAACCCACCCGAATCCCGAGAGAAGGGAGGAGAGGGAGAGAGACACACCTGCTGGGCTGTCCCTTAGGAATGAACCTCTCCAAGAGGAGAGGGCTCTCCATTGTGGGTCTCCATAAGGAGCCAAAGATGCTCTCCAAGGAGAAGTGGGAGGGGGAGTTGAGGGGGTCCTCTTCCCCCCCCCAAAAGGACCCTCAAGGAGGCCCCGAGAAGGCAGGAGAGAAGGGAGAAGGGCAGGATAGCTTGCTGCGTGGCTCAGAATCTCCCCAAAAGGGCTGAGTTTGGCTTCCCAAAAGGGGCAGGAGGAAGAGGATGGCGAGCCCTATCAGTTCCCATAAGAGAGGGAAGGGGAGGGCGAGGGGAGGGGGCTTCTCTTCCCCCCAAAAGGACCCCCATGGAGCCGGCAATCGGGGCGGGACAGGCAAGCCTGTGGGAGAAAGGCAGGGTGGGGGGTGGGTGGAGCAGCTTCTCCCCCAAAAAAGCTGGGTTTGGCTTCCCAAAAAGGGCAAGTCGAAGGGGCGTGGGGAGGGGGCTTCTCTGCCCCTCCAAAGGACCCCAAAGGAGCCGCCAATCGGAGCGGGACAGGAAAGCCTGTGGGAGAAGGGCAGGAGGGCTCAGAATCTCCCCAAAAGGGCTGGGTTTGGTTTCCCAAAAGGGGCAAGAAGAAGAGGATGTTGGGTTTGGCTTCTCAAAAAGGGCAGGAGGAAAAGGATGGAGAGCCCTACCAGTTCTCAAGAGAGAGAGGGAGAGGGGTGGGGGCTTCTCTGCCCCTCCAAAGGACCCCAAAGGAGCCGCCAATTGCGGCGGGACAGACACCCTTCAGCAAGCCTGTGAGAGAAGGGTAGGGGGGCTGGTTGCATGGCTCTGAATCTCCCCAAAAAGGGTTGGGTTTGGCTTCCCAAAAAGGGCAGGAGGAAGAGGATGGAGAGATCTACCAGTACCCAAAAGAGAGGCGAGGGGAGGGGGCTTCTCTTCCCCTCCAAAGGACCCCAAAGGAGCCGCCAATCGGGGCGGGACAGGCACCCGATGGGGGGGAAGGACAGGATGGCTGGTTGCTTCGCTCTGAATCACCCCAAAAGGCTTCCCAAAAGGGGCAGGAGGAGGAAGAGGATGGAGAGCCCTACCAGTACCCAAAAGAGAGGCGAGGGGAGGGGGCTTCTCTTCCCCCCAAAAGGACCCCCAAGAAGCCACCAATTGGGGCGGGACAGACACCCTTCATCAAGCCTCTGAGAGAAGGGTAGGGGAGCTGTCTGCGTGGCTCTGAATCTCCCCAAAAGGCTCCTCAAAAGGGGCAGGAGGAGGATGGAGAGCCCTCCTAGTTCCCAAAAGATTGGGAAAGGGAGGGCGAGGGGAGGGGGCTTCTCTGCCCCTCCAAAGGACCCCCAAGGAACTGCCAACCGGGCGGAACAGGATAGCCTGTGGGAGAAGGGCAGAGGGGCTCAGAATCTCTCCCAAAGAGGCTAGGTTTAGTTTCCCAAAAGGGCAAGAAGAAGAGGATGTTGGGTTTGGCTTCCCAAAAAGGGCAGGAGGAAAAGGATGGAGAGCCCTACCAGTTCACAAGAGAGGGGAGGGGAGGGAGAGGGGTGGGGGCTTCTCTGCCCCTCCAAAGGACCCCCAAGGAGCCGCCAATCGGGGCGGGACAGACACCCAATTGGGAGAAGGACAGGATGGCTGGTTGCTTGGCTTTGAATCTCCCCAAAGGGCTTCCCAAAAGGGGCAGGAGGAGGAGGAAGAGAAGGATGGGGACCCTGACTAGTTCCCAAAAGATTGGAAAAGGGAGGGCGAAGGGAGGGGGCTTCTCTGCCCCTCCAAAGGACCCCCAAGGAACCGCCAACCGGGGCGGAACAGGATAGCCTGTGGGAGAAGGGCAGGGGGGCTCTGAATCTCCCCAAAAGGCTTCCCAAAAGGAGCAGGAGGAGGAGGAAGAGAAGGATGGGGAGCCCTCCTAGTTCCCAAAAGAGAGGGAAGGGAAGGGAAGGATGCCTGGCTGGATGGCCGAGCAGGGAAAGGGAGGAAGGCAAGCGCACGCCCCTCCGGCACATGGCCGGCAAAGAGAGAGACAGACAGAGAGAGAGAGAAGGAAGGAAGGAAGGAAGGGGAAGAGAGGGATGCTTCTCCTTCTCCTTCTTGCTTACCGTCCCCGCCTTGACCGGCACGTAGACCACTCCGGGCGCCTTTCCGGGGGGCGAGGCGGCGTCCCCGAGGCGGAACCCCTTGGAGCGCACCCAGAACTGGAACTTGCCCTTCTCTCCCCCGTGGCTACTGCTGCCATGGCTGCCTCCCCCTCCTCCGGAGCCACCCCCGGCGCCTCCTCCTCCTCCTCCTCCTTGCAGGACCTCAGCGATGCGGCGGTACTTGCTCCTCGTGACGGTCTTGGTCTTGGCCGAGTCCCCGTAGGTCCGGAGGCACCAGTCGCGGAACTGGCGGCCCAGCGCGCTCTCCCCGGGCCGGGAGGACGGAGCTGGGGGAGGAGGAGGGAGAGGCAGGGGGGGAGAAGAAGCCGAAGCCGAAGCAGCAGCAGCAGCAGCAGCAGCCGAGGCGGAGCGGAGCAGGAGAGGCGGCGGAGGGGCGGGCGGAGGGGGAGGCTTCGGCATGGCGAGCAAGGGAGCCCTGTCCCGGGCTTGGTCCTCCTTCTGTCCGGCTGGAAAGGGGTCAGGGAGGGGCCGGAGGGGCCGGAGCCAAGCGAGAGGTGAGGAGAGGCGGGTCCGGAGGCGAGGAAGGGGACGGAGAGGCTGGAGAGGGCGAGGCGCACGCGGGACAGGAGACGGAGGAGGCTCCCTTGCTCCTGCCTCCTTCCTTGCCCTCCTTCCTTCCTTCCTCCCTTCCTGCTGGGGCCGAGACCCCTCCTCCTCTTCCTCCTCCTCCTCCTCCTCTGGCGTCCCACCTGTTCGCCCTCCTCCTTCTCCTCCTTCTCCTCCTCCTTCCCTTCTTCGTCCCCAGGGCGCGCCGTGCGTAAAAGCGCCTTTGGAGAGGAGAGGAGAGGGTCCTCCTCCTTCTCCTCCTCCTCCTCCTCTTCTTCTTCTTCCTCCTCCTCCTCCTCCGCCTGCTTCTGCCGCTCCTCCAGCCGCCCCCGCCCCTCGGGAGCAGTGGGGCGGGGCTGGTCCGAGAGGAGGAGGAAGCCAAGCGGTCACTCGCCTCGGACGGAGAGGCAGCAGCAGCAGCAGAGCCAGGCCGAAAAGGAGGAGGAGGAGGAAGAAGAGAGCAGAGCAATGAAGAGGAGGAGGAGGAGGAGAGGCGTGGCTTTGCAGTTGCGAGGGGGCAAGGGGGAGGGGGAGGCGCCAGGTGAGCCCCCGCCCCACCTGACCACCTCTCTCTCTCTCTCTCTCTTTCACCCCCAGGAAGGGAGAGAAGGAGGGAAGGGCCAAGGGTGTCCCTCGCCCCTTGGAGAAGGCAAAGCAGGGAGGGCGCGCCCTAGAGCATGGGCAGAGGGCCAGCAGGGTTTGGACAGGGGGGGGGGGCATCAAGGGTGACCCATTATTATTATTATTGTTATTATTATGTACTTCTATCCCACCTTTCTCAGCCATTAGGACTTAAAACAGCCTCGCCATTATTATTATTATTATGGGGAGAGAGTGGGCTTCACAAGGGGTGCCCCATTATGACTATTGTTATTATGAACTTTATTTCTATTCCACCTTTCTCCCCCCCATAAGGACTCAAAGCAGCCTTACAATGGGTGCGCCCAAGAGCATGGACAGAGTACAGAGTGCCATCGGGGTCTGTAGAGAGAGTGGGCTTCACATATGGTGCCCCATTATGACTATTGTTATGATGAACTTTATTTCTATCCCACCTTTCTCCCCCATAAGGACTCAAAACAGCCTTAAAATGATGATGATAATTATTATTATTATTATTATTATTATGTACTTTATTTCTGTCCCACCTTTCTCCCCCATAAGGACTCAAAGCAGCCTTATTATTATTATTATTATTATTATTATTATTATTATCATTGCCTCTCAGCACTTGGAGAAGGCAGGGTGGGTGTGCCCAAGAGCATGGCCAGAGTGCAGAGTGCCATCCGGGTCTGGAGAGGGAGTGGGCCCCACAAAGGGTGACCCAATGTCGACTATTGCTATTATGAACTTTATTTCTATCCCACCTTTCTCCCCCATAAGGACTCAAAACAGCCTTAAAATGATGATGATAATTATTATTATTATTATTATTATTATGTACTTTATTTCTGTCCCACCTTTCTCCCCCATAAGGACTCAAAGCAGCCTTATTATTATTATTATTATTATTATTATTATTATTATCATTGCCTCTCAGCACTTGGAGAAGGCAGGGTGGGTGTGCCCAAGAGCATGGCCAGAGTGCAGAGTGCCATCCGGGTCTGGAGAGGGAGTGGGCCCCACAAAGGGTGACCCAATGTCGACTATTGCTATTATGAACTTTATTTCTATCCCACCTTTCTCCCCCATAAGGACTCAAAACAGCCTTACCATTATTATTATTATTATTATTATTATTATTATTATTATTATGTATTGTCGAAGGCTTTCATGGCCGGAATCACTGGGTTGTTGTAGGTTTTTCTGGGGTATATGGCCATGTTCTAGAGGCATTTTCTCCTGATGTCAGGAGAAAATGCCTCTAGAACATGGCCATATAGCCCGGAAAAACCTACAACAACCCATTATTATTATGTACTTTATTTCTATCCCACCTTTCTCCCCCATAAGGACTCAAATCAGCCTTACAATGGGTGCACCCAAGAGCATGGGCAGAGTGCAGAGTGCCATCCGGGTCTGGAGAGAGAGTGGGCTCCACAAATAGTGCCCCATTATGACTATTGTTATTATGAACTTTATTTCTACCCCATCTTTCTCCCCCATGAGGACTCAAAACAGCCTTACCTATTATTATTATTATTATTATTATTATTATTATTATTATTATTGTGTACTTTATTTCTATCCCACCTTTCCCCCCCATAAGGACTCAAAGCAGCCTTACAATGGGTGTGCCCAAGAGCATGGGCAGAGTGCAGAGTGCCATTCGGGTCTGGAGAGAGAGTGGGCTCCACAAATAGTGTCCCATTATGATTATTGTTATTATGAACTTTATTTCTATCCCACCTTTCTCCCCATGAGGACTCAAAACAGCCTTACCATTATTATTATTATTATTATTATTATTATTATTATTGTGTACTTTATTTCTATCCCACCTTTCCCCCCCATAAGGACTCAAAACAGCCTTACCATTATTATTTTTATTATTATTTTTTACTTTATTTCTATCCCACCTTTCCCCCCCATAAGGACTCAAAACAGCCTTACCATCATCATCATCATTATTATTATTATTATTATTATTATTATTATTGTGTACTTTATTTCTATCCCACCTTTCTCCCCATAAGGACTCAAAACAGCCTTACCATCATCATTATTATTATTATTATTATTATTATTATTATTATTGTGTACTTTATTTCTATCCCACCTTTCCCCCCCATAAGGACTCAAAACAGCCTTACCATTATTATTATTATTATTATTATTATTATTATTATTATTATTATTGTGTACTTTATTTCTATCCCACCTTTCTCCCCATAAGGACTCAAAACAGCCTTACCACATAATCATTATTATTATTATTAATTTTTTGGGGGGTTGTTTTTTTTTTTTTTTCATTATTATTATTATTATTATTATTATTATTATTATTGTGTACTTTATTTCTATCCCACCTTTCCCCCCCATAAGGACTCAAAACAGCCTTACCATTATTATTTTTATTATTATTATTTACTTTATTTCTATCCCACCTTTCTCCCCATGAGGACTCAAAACAGCCTTACCATTATTATTATTATTATTATTATTATTATTATTATTGTGTACTTTATTTCTATCCCACCTTTCCCCCCCATAAGGACTCAAAACAGCCTTACCATTATTATTTTTATTATTATTATTTACTTTATTTCTATCCCACCTTTCCCCCCCATAAGGACTCAAAACAGCCTTACCATCATCATCATCATTATTATTATTATTATTATTATTATTATTATTATTGCTATTATGAACTTTATTTCTATCCCACCTTTCTCCCCCATAAGGACTCAAAACAGTCTTACCATTATTATTATTATTATTATTATTATTATTATTATTATTATTATTGCCTCTCACCACTTGGGGTGTGTGTGCACCCAAGAGCATGGGCAGAGTGCAGAGTGCCATCTGGGTCTGGAGAGCGAGTGGGCTCCACAATATTTGTTATTATGATTATGAACTTTATTTCTATCCTACCTTTCTCCCCCATAAGGACTCAAAGCAATTAACTATCATCATCATCATCATCATCATCATTATTGCCTTGGAGAAGGCAGACAAGGTGCACCCAAGAACATGGGCAGAGTGCCGTCCGGGTTTTGAGGATGGGGGAGTCGTGGGCTTCCTAAAAGGTGCCCGATTATTATTATTATTATTAGTAACCTTATTTCTATACTGCATTTCTCCCTCATAAGCACTCAAAAGCAGCTTATTATTATTATTATTATTATTATTATTATTATTAGCCGTTCCCTGCCACGCGTTGCTGTGGCCCACTCTGGTGGTCATGGGGGTTCTATGTGGGATGTTTAGCCCAGTTCGTTGGTGGGGTTCAGAATGCTCTCTGACTGTAGGTGAACTACAAATCCCAGCAACTACAACTCCCAAATGCCAAGGTTCTATTTTCCCCAAACTCCACCAGTGTTCACATTTGGGCATACTGAGTATTCATGGCAAGTTTGGTCCAGATCCATCCTTGTTTGAGTCCACAGTGCTCTCTGGATGTAGGTGAACTACAACTCCAAAACCAAAGGACACTGCCAACCAAACCCTTCCAGTATTTTCTGTTGGTCATTAGAGAACTGTGTGCCAAGTTTGGTTCAATTCCATTCTTGGTGGGGTTCAGAATGCTCTTTGATTGTAGGTGAACTATAAATCTCAGCAACTACAACTCCCAAATGACAAAATCAATTTTTTTGAGTGAAAGACATACATTGGGTTGTTAGGTTTCTTGTGTCCAAATTTGGTCTCAATTCGTCCAGTGGTTTTTGAGTTCCGTTAATCCCACAAAAGAACATTACATTTTTATTTATATAGATTATTATTATTATTGCCTCTCACCACTTGGAGAAGATTGTTGTTGTTGTTGTTGTTGTTGTTATGAACTTTATTTCTACCCTGCCTTTCTCATTATTGTTGTTGTTGTTGTTGTTGTTGTTATGCATTTCTCCCTCATAAGCATTCAAAGCAACTTATTATTATTATTATTATTATTATTATTATTATTATTGCCTCTCACCACTCAGAGAAGGCAGGGGAGGCACACCAAAGAGCATGGGCAGAGTGCAAAGTGATGGGGGAGCCATAGGCTCCACAAATCGTGCCTATTATTATTATTATTATTATTGACTATTTCTACTCTGCCTTTCTCCCCCTTAAGGACTCAAAGCAGATAGCAGTTACTATTCTTGCCTATCGCCTCTTGGAGAAGGCACAGCAGGTGTGCCCAAGATCATGAGCAGAGTGCATCCATATTTTGGAGATGGGAGAGCAGTGGGCTCCTCAAATGCTGCCCCATTATTATTAGATAAAGGTAAAGGTTTTCCCCTGACATTAAGTCCAGTTGTGTCCGACTCTGGGAGTGGTGCTCATCTCCATTTCCAAGCTCGAGCTGGCGTTGTCCATAGACGCCTCCAAGACCATGTGGCCAGCATGACTGCACCGTTACCTCCCTGCCGGAGCAGTAACTGTTGATCTACTCACATTTGCATGTTTTCAAACTGCTAGGTTGGCAGATGCTAGGGCTAACAGCGGGAGCTCACCCTGCTCCCAAGATTTGAATTTAATAATAATAATAATAATAATCTTTATTTATACCCTGCCACCATCTCCCCGATGGGGACTCGGGGCGGCTTACATGAAGCCAAGCCCAAACAACAAATTACAGCAAAATAAAACCGAAAACGAAAACAATAAACAACATCGTAATTACATAAAACATAAACGCATAACAATATAAAATTACAGTAAACACAATCACAGTGACAGAGGACTATCAACAAGTTCATCAGCTCAGCAGTATAACCCACTGCGCCATTATTATTATTATTATTATTATTATTATTATTATTATTATT